AAATAGGAGGGCTGGGAACAGCCAAGGGCAGAGCCTCAGGAGTGGAGGAAACCTGTAGAGTTCCAAATACTTCCCTGAGGAAGGAGGCTAGCCCCCAGACTGCGGCTTCACGTAGCAACAACCCCACACCACATGCGCACACACGCATACACCATACCTTGCACAAAGACTTTTGGCTGCAGGCCATTCACAAAGGCCCTTCTTGTCAGCCAGGGTTCTATGCCAGGCTGGCCCCAAACCAGCCCCTGGCCAGCTCTTTCCATTCAGGTCCACCAGTGCCTAAGGAGCAAATTCCCAATCCCCCCTGCCCCATTTCTTCCTACTTGTTGACCCTCCCATCCCTGGTCTTCTCTGATGCAACAGCTTGTTTTGCAGTGTGTTTGGAGCCAGGCATAACATCTCACATGGTCTGGTGTCTCAAGACAGACAAGATTCCTGCCTTTGTAGGCCTGGATGCTGCACCTCTGTCATGAGCAAAGGCCACCAGGGAGTTCTCATACAGCAGCAAGGACCTGCCTGTCACCAGTCCTTGCAAAAGTACATAAAAACTTAACTTAAAGCCCCATGTGGCATCTGCATTCACCCCTTTAATTCCTCCCCATTATTTCAGCCTTACAAGATAAACATGCACCACGTGGTCATTAAATCATGATATGATCATTACATGATAAAATAAGGCAAGACAGGGGACAGGGGACTCCTCCAGGGCAGCTCCTGAAACTCATCTGTCTGCTGAACTGCGGTGCGTCCGGGTCATCTTGAAGCAGGGTTCCTCCGCCCCTTTAAGGATTCTGCTGTTCTCTTTCCCATTTGCCCCAAACAATGAAATAATGCAACACACAGGCCTGGGACTCAGTGCACGGTCCCCACTCAGACTCAAGAGCAGCTTTCCCATGTGCCAGGTAGGGAATCAGAGCCCCCATTTGACAACCAGTGAAACTTCAGAGCCAGTGGTGAACTCGGTAGGATGAAGGTTCACAGACATCAACCCAGACAAATAGCCTCACTCCTTACAATCAGCTACAAAGAAGGTTCTAGAGGCCAGGTCCCAGTTACCCAGAGGCCCCTAGGCCTACACATTGTCCACTCTCCTTTAAGATAATCCAGGAAGCTTCCGGACACTGAACAGCCCCGACGGACCACCCACCCTGTGCACTCAGAGTCACATCTAGGAGACCTCTCCCACCCCAGGTCCCAGACCCACCCACCCAGCTCACCCGTGCACACAACTGGGATTGTCATCCCTGCGTGGTAAGGACACAAGAGCACCATCACTCTGCCCTGGCAGTCTTCCCTCCTTCCCTCACCTCCCACGGATGACTCCTCCTCCATCAGCTTCTCACCGAATGCCCTCTGCTCCTCCCAAGGGGGAGGCTGAGCCCACCCACCGAAATACCACACTTGCAGCCACCCCAGCCTTCACTGCAGCTCTTACCTGATATTTTGACAGGACTTTGAAAGCTGGGTTGAATTTTATGGACATTATCATTTTTTAACACCTGATCCAGAGGCGATCTCTCAAAGAAGGTGAGCACCACCTCAGACCTAGAATACTGGGGATAAACAGAGTAATTACTGGATATGCAAAGCTCTCCACAGTGGGTCCCATGTGTGTGATGGGGTGGTGCTTGTGCACAGAGGTAACCCCAACGGATATGAAGCTCAGAAGGCAGTCCCGGGCCTGTGCAGGGGCTGGTTGATGACCTATGATGCCCAGTAACTGGATCACTGCAGTTTCTTTGTTTACAAGTGTAATGGGCAAGGCCTCTGGCTAGGGTGGGTGGCCCTGTGGAATGCTTTGCACACGGCTGGCATTTCACACCCGGCTCCCTCCTTTGCTATCGGCACGGTTGCTTCTACCTCAGCCATTTGCCAGAGGGGAAAACAGCTAAGGGGTCCTGCCTGGCCCTCCGGGTTCTTAGTTCTCCACGTCAAGCTCACAGACTCAGGGTGTGAGTTCCAGGGAGACGGAACTGAACACCGTGGCTGCCAATGATGCTGACATTGCCCTTGGCTTCCTGGTGCCTGTTCTAAACCTAAGAAGAGCAGGTTCTGAGGTGAGGGAAGAAAGCAAAGGCCGCTGCTTCTGTAGAAGGCCCCGTGCCCTCCTGCTTCACACCTCATGACTTAAGGGAACCTAGCAGAGCCCACAGAAGCCTCCCATCCCTTGATTGTCGGCCGGGACATCTAGTGGGAATGAGATGCTGAGTGGGATACAGGGAGCGGTCTGCGAGCCTGGGTGGTGACAGGCCACTCTGGCCTCCCCGCTCCACCGCGACGTCTCGCTCACCTTACAGGGCATGCTGATGACAGTCTCCAATAGCTTCTCAACCTCATTGAGCCTGGTCTCTGTGTCGTGTGCTTCCTTGATGGCAAGCAGTCCTAGAAGAGAGGCAGGAGTGGCCAGGTCAGAGAGGCGAGCAGCCTGTGATGAAACAAGTGACTGATAGCAACAGGTGTCCCGCGATGAGGACACCACCCATGCTCTCTTCCGAAGCAGACTGTCCTGTTCCTAAGGTCAATACATCTCAGTGTCTCCCATGGACGCTTGAGACCACAAACAGAACCAGACCCCAAAAGATAAAACTTCTTCCTCCGTAATTCAGCCCACATCCTGGACCATGGCCGTGGCTGTTGCTTTTGCAGTCTGAAGTGAGATGGGAAAGCTACCATGAATTCATCTCCACAGTTTCACAGTCAATGCTCCCCACAGCAGGTCTTAGCCGCCTCTGCCTGCAGTTGTGGGGTGTGTTTTTGGTTTTGGGCTCCTTATTCAGGTGAGACTATTCGCCTCTCCTCTTGAAGAGGGGCTTTGTGGCTTCTCTGTGCACGCCCCAGTGGTGGCTAGCATCACTGCTCTCCCACTTTAGGACCAGCCTTAAGCAAAATGGGGACTATAGGACCCCGAGCTCTGAGGTACCAGGACAGCTGCTAATGACTGGTGTGTGTGTGGGGCGGTATATACAGCATGGAGACAGACGTAAGACAAAGGAACCATTCTCATCTCAGGGGAGTCAGGGCGGGGTGGCTTAGCAACTCATCCTGCTGCTCAGAATGGCAGGCAATTTGAAACTTAGGAACTGTTTGTTTTGAGAACTTTTGGCCTCAGAGAACAGAAAAGCAAGCGTGAGATAAGGGAGATTTAGTACTCACTCTGTCTTGTGTGTGTCTGGTGCTCACCTGTGAGGTCCCAGGCTACCCCTCCCCCTGCGAAGCACATTGGTGATGTATGACTTTGCTGCAACCAATGTCACACATCCAAAAATGACTGTGGAATGAGGGCACAGGTGGATGGTCCCCTGCAGTGGGACATTCTGGGGCCCATGCCACTAACATCTGGACACAGCCAGAGCTTAGCCAGAGACCCCCTCGGTTGCCATCAGTAAGATAACTGCCCAAGGGGTGGGTGGCCCAGGACCCACCAGCCCTGATGACACAGACAAGGTCCCACTCTGCCAGTGACAGCTGCCCAGACCACAAGGTCTGAGTAAACGGAGCCCATATTTAGACAAGTCATCTAAATGCAATGTTCAGAAGGGGAAAAGATCTCAGAGAAAGCCCTTGTGGGCATGAGTCATGGCCCTCTCCAGGAACCCAGGCATCGGTGCTTGTTATGGGCACCACAGAGTGGTCAGCACAGGCTCTGACTGGCTGTTGGGCTGTGCAGTATTTTATTTTTAAAACCTTATGGCTCAAGGCCATACTTGGGAGACGTGGGGTTTTCTCTGTCTCCTATGAGCAATACAGACGCAAGAATTCCCACTTCAGCCTCTCCCAACAGCTTTCAAGGGACAGAATTCAGACTCCTGTGTACACTAGCTTTGTCCACAACTCTGTATGACCAAAACAGCACAATCCCCGTGATCTGCAGCACATCCCCAGAGACCTAGATCCCAGAACTATGATCGGTCCCTGAAAGTTTCTTTCAGGTTCTGGTTTGGTTTTGTTCACAAAAGGCAGTGTTGAGGTTTAGGTAAGTGATCAAAATTTCTAAAAACAACCTGATTAGGAAACACCAGAACACATAGTTCCTGGGAACTCCTACCAGAGTCCCCAGATGTAATGAGAGGGCATTTCTGAAAGGCTAGCCTAGGCTATCCCTAATGTCTACACCAGTGTCTCCTTCACCTAACCTCCTGGCATGCAAGTACCCCTCCTTGCTGATAGTGTTTTCTGATCCCATCCCCTCCCTCCCTCCCTCCCTCCCTCCCTCCCTCCCTCCCTCCCTCCCTCCCTCCCTCTCTCCCTCCTCAGCCATACAGGCCATGGTGGCCAGCCATGGGATGTGCAAAATCCAGAGGTGACAGAGTGGGTTGTGACTGCTCCTCTGGAAACCTGAGGCTTCATATATACCCACTCAAGCACAACACCCTGAACATCACCAGAGGAAGAGACTGGGTCACCTCTCTTCCCAAGTCCCATCTCAACCTGTCTGTTGAAGAAAAAGAAAAGAAAAACAGAAAACACCAGGGTGTCAGAGTTCCTGAATGTCTCTGCCCAAAGTTCTGAGCTCCTCAAAGAGAGAAACAGAGAGTCATCCGTGGCATGATGTCGTGTTTGGGGCACAACGGGGCTTGTGTGACAGTGGTCCTGTAAGAGATGTCACCTAGAAACAGCACAGCTGGCTCAGTTGGTGTAAATGCACTCAGGATGTTCACACAGTGACAGAAATCAAAGACTCCTTTCCCAAAGCATCGCTGTCATTAAGAGGGGTGGCTGTGTGTACACATGAGGATGAGGATGCAGGATTTTTCTCTGCATTAGGTCACTTTGAACATCCTTCCTTGCCACAGAGTAGTATGCAGAGGACAGAGCCAGGTCTGAATTCCTTGGAAAGTTATTCATAAAGAGGGAAAAAAAAAATCACATAACAATCCCACAGACAGCTGCTTTCTTCAAAGAAGCAAAGCCGCCCTCCAGTTTCCCAGAACTACAATCCTAGACGGGAGTCCATCCCACTGACACAGCAACTACTTTTATTCTCTGAAAACATGGTTCATAGGAGACCACCCTCCTGTACAGCCAGTGTACAGCCGGTCTACACCACTTCCAGGTGGAAGCATCCGCCTGGATTCTCAATGAAGGAGTCTTGATTCCGGCTCATTAGCGGTGATGGCAAAGCCCTGGTTCTATCTTTGTTTCTGTTGGTTGGCTTTACAACTGCCAATGGAGAGGTAAAGACACTCTGCTCTAGACCAGTGTAGTGCTTTAAATGAGAATGTCCCCAGATGGGCTCAGATGTTTGAACACTCGGGCCCCAGTTGGTGACACTGGGGAGGTTTAGTAGGTGTGGCCTTGTTGGAGGAAGTATGTCACAAGAGGCAGGCTTTGAGAGTTTAAAAACCCACACTAGCCAGGCAGCAGTGGTGCACGCCTAGCACTCAGAAGGCAAAACCAGTTCAAGGCCATCCTGGTCTACGGAGTGAGATCCTGGACAGACACCAAAATAACACAGAAAATCCTTGTCTCGAAAACAAAAAACAAACAACAACAACAACAACAACAACACACACACACACACACACACACACACACACACACACACACTACTTCTAGTTCTCACTCTTCTTGCTTATGGTTCAAACTGTGAGCTGCATGCCCACCGCTTGCAGCCACGCTGCCCCAGCTGGTTTGGACTCTGGAGCTATATAAAGCCCACAAAGCCTCCTCCTTCTATGAGTTGCCTTGGTCACTGTTTTATCACAGCAAGAGGAAATCATCTAATGCAATCAGTCTTTTGGGGCCGCCAGATTTCACAAGGAAAATATAGAACCCAGTGAACCGAGAATTTCACATAAATGAGGAGGAACACCATAGTAAAGGCTGCTCCACTGAAAACACTCTGCTGTTTGTCTCGTGTTCAACACGAACTTCATGCCCTGCACTCTGTCTTTGCTATGACCCATTTTCCAGGCTGCAGCAGAGAAAAGCAAGGGTACCCTTCCGGCCTCTAGAAACAGCATCGGCACGTTGGCCCTGTTGGATGTGACCCCAGCCCACCTTACCAGTTCCATGCCCTGCCATTTCTCACAGCTCTGGGACAACTCTGAGAAACAGGCCCCTCGGGCCAGCAAGTCTCCAGTGCCCACAGTGCAGCCTCTGGCACAGTGAGGGGCACAGTGGCATTCTTCAAGTTCGGTTGCACCTGCTTCCTTGGACCAGTCTTTATGCTTCGGAATGAAAGAAGCCAAGTGGTGTTCTTTGGAAACGAAACCGGGCTTGAGACTAGAACAGGGAGAGACACCCGAATGGGGAAGGGAAGCCTGTGGGATGCTCACACGCAAGCTCAGAAATGACAGGCGATTCTCTCAGAGGCTGTGAGGTAGAGGTGTTTTCATTCAGCATTTGGTTCCCCATGCTGGCTCCTTGGTAACAATCAAGTTGGCAGTCTAAATAGGCTTTCTTAAGGTACCACATCCTGTCTCCAAGAACCACCCTCACCCGAGGGACAAGGAACACTGGCCCCTAAACCAGGTGGTACAACAGCTTTGCAAAATGGTGGATGCCTCTGTGTTTGAGGAGGCTTTCCTAAGAGCAATACAACCCGATGACCATTGCTGCATTTACAGTCCCAAGGCCAAGGAGCACAGCCTCAAGAAGCAGGAAAGAGCCAGCATTCAGCATGCCTGCCCTTACCCTCATCAGCCCCAGGCCAGCAAAGATGAGTCACCACCAGCCACCTGGCTTTTGACAGCCCCAAGCCCCAAAGCTCACAGTGCCCAACGCACGCACGCACGCACACATGCACGCACCACACCCCTCCCTCTACTCTGGGGCCCTAATGCAGAAAATGAAATACATTTTCCTCTGGAAACTTCTAATTGTTTCACACTCCTGAGGCTTCTTAGTTTCACAGCTGGCGGGATCCCCAAATATCTGCCACCTCTGTAGTAATGATATCAGACTCTCCAAGCACCTCTGTGAAAGGCGGAGTTCTGAGAGTGGTCTTCACGGGGCCTCTGCTTTCATTTTCAGGGACAGGTGACAGGAGCCATGGTCTAAGTGGCATGGCCACCAGCACAGTGCGCTCTTTGCTCACATTTGCATATTCTCCTCTTGCACCTGCTCAGGGTTTTCCTTCGAGTTTAAGTCAGTTGGCTCTTAAAGGCTCGGGCTGGCTTTTCCAAATGTCACTTGTGTATACAATTTCAACTTTACTTTTTAATGTACTTAAATACAATAGCTCTAGAGTACCTGATGCTTCTGCGTTTTATACTCCAAGTATTATTGGTGGTTTAAGAAAAGTCAGCCTGGAGCAACCCAGGGGACCTTTCTCCCTAAAAGGCTTTATTTAGCTTTGCAAGAAAAAAACAGAGAATTTGTTTGTGCTTAACTGATTTCATCAAAAGCAAACACCTGCTTCATTCCTGGAACCAAAACTG